AGAACCTTGTCTCCGTGTCCCCCTCCTCCTCCTCCCCGGCCCCCTCCATCCCCATACACATACCACAAACCTCTACCCCACAACCCATAACCGAGAGCCTCATCTCAGTGCCCCCTCCCCTCCTCTTCCTCCTCCCCCACCTCCTCGTCGCCCCCCTCCTCCTCTTCCTGCCCCGCTTCACCTCGCCCTCTTCGATGCTTCTCCCCCCCATTTTCCGCCTCACCCCCCATCCTTCTCTCCCCGTCCTCCTTTTTTCTCCCCGGCACGCGCGCCCGATTGGCCATCATTTGCATGTCTTGCACTTCAGGGTGCCCTTCTTTGCGTCGCGCGGGACATTGTGCGGATCGGGGAACGCCGACTTCGGCAGTCTTCTCTTGCATGCGCCGCTGCACTGATACGCCTGGCAACTGCGCGCGGCGAACCCGAGTTTTGTGCAGTCTCCGCACGCGACTTTGAACTGCGTCGCCTTTCGATGATGTTCCTTTTGCGTCAGCTTCAAATGTTTCGTCTCTGAGAACGCTCCTCCGCGCGCCGCGCACGTCAGCGGCTTCGCGTCCGCCTCGGCTTTCCGTTTCCTACTATTCGACTCGAGCGTCGTCCTCTGACGTTCCTCCGCGCACCTCTGACACAGCCTCTCCCCCGCTGCTTTGTGTTTCTTCTGTGCATCGGACATATCCGCCTCCTCTTGGAAAAGCGACAGACATTTCTCGATGGAACAACGCACCTTGCGTTTCCTGTTATTCGACTCGCGCGTCGTCCTCTCCCGGTCTTCCGCGCACCTCTGACACAGCCTCTCCCCTGCTGCTTTGTGCTTCTTCTGAGCTACCAACATTTCCGCCTCCTCTGGCAATGGCGACGGACAGCCGTCATTCGAACAGCGAACTTTGCCCGCGCTCTCGGCCCACTTGGCGTTGGCACGGCGCGACTTCTGCTGCCCCTTCACATCGCTGCATTTGACACGGTACATGGTCCGAACTTTTTTGGCGTCGCCCCCATCGCGAACCCTCGCCACGCCCTCTCGTCGCCCCTCCGTGCGCTTTCGTCGCCGTGAGTCTTCGTTGCCCACGTGTCACACGTTTTACACCATTTCTCGCCCAGGCTCTTCATCTCTTCCGTGCACTCTTTACAGAAGGCTGGTCTCTCCTTCCGCTGGAATTCGTACTTCGTGAACGCCTCCATTAGCAGCGGACGTCGGCAACGCCCACGCTGATCGCGCGGCATCAGCTTCGCTTCCCACTCCTCCCAATCCACAGTGTCGCCGCGTAGCACCTGCAACAGCTCCTGCGCGCCGGGCATCTCCCCCTCGTTGCACGGCTTCCTGTCGAAAGGCCCCCGTCTCCTCACCCGGGTAATCGCCGCGCAACTGGACATCCAACTTACGCCGCGCCCGCTTTCCAGATCCGCTATCACTGCGCCCAACGTCCGCCCTTGCGCGGCGCGCGCTGTGATTGCTAAAGCTGGCGTAATCATGAACTGCGTGCGCTTCACCCCCAACACCGGGCGCTTCCGATACCCGTCCAAGAACCACCGGGGCCCCTTCGATGGAAAATTTGGATGCAGTCCCGGCCACCACCCGGGCAAGTGCATCTCTTCGTGTGGAAGTCCAACACTATGACCCTTGGCAAATGCGACAACACTTCCTCTTCTTCTTCTCCCACGACTTCGTCCTCGTGCAAGACCCACCCATGAATCGTCGCGTGGCTTCCCCGCAGCAGCTGCTTCTTCGACGTGTCCAAATTATCTCCTAAGGCATCCCCTTCGCCAACGGCAGCCACCCCAGCAAGCTCGCGCACTCCTTTTCGCGATAACCTAGCCACCGTATCTTGTCCTCCACGGTGCACGGGCGTCTCTGCCCCCCCCCCTGGCACGGGCGATCTCTCGCCGCGACCCATAGCAGTTGCTCTCCGCGTTCCTTCGCCCACTGCACAGCTCTTTGTTTCCCGACGTGGCACCGCGCGTCCTGATTGGCATAGATCGCCACGGCTTCCACGAATTTCTCTTCCCGAAATCGCGGGTCTACCGGCGACGTCGCCACGAGTTTCCTCTCCCCTCGCTCCACTTTGCACACCGCGCATTCCAGTTCATTGGCTCTGCCAATTTCCTGTGTTTTAACTCGACGCTGCGAGTTTCCGCATTGCGGCGCGCCGTTCACCCACGATCCTGGCACGTCCGTCGGCCGTCCGTGCAAGAAATTGCGCGCTCTCTCCGTCAATTCGCCTCGACGAAACTCGTCTTGCACCCCGAGGAACCAGGCGCCTGGCTCCTCCACACGCTTGCACTCTGTCAGCTCTGTCATTCCTTGCGCTGCCCCTGCGCCTCCCCTTCCCCAGAAGATATGCTGACCGTGGTCCTCCGCGGCACCCAGCGCGCACTTTCTTGCTTTTTTCAGATGCGATGTGGGCAGCGCATTGATGGCCATTCCCGAGGGAGGCTCAAACTGATAAAAGTCTCCGCAGAACAACACGTTGATGCCCCCGAACGGCCTGTCCACACCGTCTGTCCCTACTTTCGCGCCACTCGCAGCTGACATGCACGTCCGCAGATGCGAATCGAGTTCCGCGATGCAGCTTGCGCCCACCATGCTCACCTCGTCCACAATCAGCCACTTCCACTGTGACATACGCTGCGCCGCTTGCTCTTTCTTCGTTGTCTTCTTCGTCTCTGCGTTGGCATTGCCCGCCGCGTCCTTCTCTTTCGCTTTGTTCCTCACACCGAGCCCAAAATGCACTGTGAATCGTATTCCCGTCGAGATCTGACGCGTTCGTAGCCTGCAACGCTGCCGCCTGAAAATCTACGCCGCGCGTCCACCCCGGCTCTTTTTTCGAACAGCTCCTTCCGGACCTTGTCTATGACGAAACTCTTCCCAGCCCCCGGGCCGCCATGCAAAATCCACACGAGGGGCTGCACATCAGAACCGCTCTGCCCTGTTTTCTTGCCGCTCGCGGACCTCCCGAATTCTTGCGCCAACAAACGATCTGCCACCTTCTCAACGACGCTACGCTGTCCCGCGTTCAACCCGTTCTCCGCAAGCCCTTGCCTCGAACTCCGCACACTTGACGCCGCTGCTTTCTTGGCCACCGCCACCTCTGGGGCACCGTCCTCTCCACCCGCGCCGCTGCCTTCTGCGGCCTTCGACGCCGCGGCCACCGCTTGCACTTTCTTCACTTCCGCGTCATCCCACCTCAACACACCGCCCCCTCCGCGCTTCTTGCGCTTTCCGTTCATCCGACCAGCGCTCGCGCCCCACACGGCGTCGCCCCTGGCCATGGCGTCCCGGCTCTTCTCCTTTTCGCACTCCGCATCTACATTTATCCGCCTGTCCTCTTTCTCCATGGACGCGCCTCCCACATGCGTCTTCCGCCTTGTCGCCGCGTCGACAATTATCGGATCCAGTTCTTCATCGCTGTACAGCTCGTCCTCGTGTTTCACTAGATCTTCGTCCGTGACTGGTCGCATATCCACCGCGCCCATGTAGTTCTGAACGTACCTCTTTGTTTCTTCACATGACATGCCTTTCTTTAACCACTCCAATGACGCCTCCGCCCACGACCCCTGCGCTCCGCGGAAGTCCTGCAGGTGCGGCACTCCACATTCGACGTCGTCACGCAGAGTGAACGCCCGAAAATAGACCATCAACAAGAGCCCGTTCCTATCCTCCTGCCCCGCTCCGTGCTTCGGCTGCGGCGCTCCATGAAAACTCGGGTTCCTCGGGCGCTCGTTCCGCACCAGCACCCACGTGTGCCTCAGAGTTTCCAACTCCGGAACATCCGGGAACGGTGCCCACGAATATCTCTCCCATCCCTCCTTGATCACATAATTCAATCCAGATTTCAATTGGGGTCCAGCCTCGGCAACTCCCAAAGGGCCCCCACGACAACTCACCAGAACCCCGAGCCGCCAAATGATCGTTCGAAAACGCCAAAGATGGCATCCACGCGGCCCAAGATGCCTCCAAGAGTGCTCCGGGACGGCCCTACCGCAGAATCCAAACGGCAATGTAAAGCCGCGGGCCCCCACAGAAACAGCATGAGGCCCCCAGAAGCTCTCCAACAATGCTGCCAGGACGCCCGCGCGGAAAGAACCAGGAGCCCCCCAAGAAAAAAAAAAAAAAAAAAAAAAAAACGATGAGCACCAAATATATTCTTGGCCACCGGCGACGCTCCACCTCGAACGTCCGCTGCTGGGTCGCCGCCGCAGCGCCTCGACCACCTAACTATACCGTGACCCGCGGGACCACACATGTGCTCAAAACAGACCCCCACACACCCAACCCCCCATAAAGGGGTCGGCGGATGTGGCGTAAGCCTAGAGAATCATCTCCGCCGCGCGGGGCGCTGTCCTGTCCCCCCCAACGCTTCGCGCTCCCCGCTGGCCCAGGTTGCCGACGTAGCCGCCGGCACCGCACGCCGCCACATGCCCTCCTTCCCGCTGCCTCTGTCTGTCGCACGCCGCCGCCGTCGACGCCGCGTGGAGCCCTGGGCATTTCGCACACTCGGCAACAAGAGGAGGAGGAGAAGGAGGAGGAGGAGGAGGAGGAGGAGGAGCACGTCGACGAGGAGGGGGAGGAGGGGGAGGAGGTGAGAAGGAAGAGGAGGGGAAGGAGGAGGGAAGGAGGAGGGAAGCGGGGGGAGGGGATGGGGCGGGAGGGGGGAGAGGAGGGGGAGAAGCAAGAGAGGAAGGCGAGCGAGCCAGGTGCGAAGGCGCCACATCTGACATCCTATCCTTCCCATTCCTTGCAATTACGCTGATATGTTGTCTGTCCGCGGACCGTTGTCATAGCGGACCTGTATCCCCCAAACGGCCCCATCGTGTGCTGCGAAATCAGAGAGAGAGAGAGAGAGGAACTGCGTACACTGGAGGAGGAGAGAGAGGTGGTGGATGAGAGGGAGTATGAGCAGGACGAAGATGATGATGAGGAGAAGAAGCAGAAGCAGCAGCAGGAGTAGGAGGCGCGACAGGGAGGGGACGAGCAAGAGGAGGACGAGCGCAGGGCAGCTCGCCCAACATGACTTGCAGGCCAGTGTTGAAGCTGCTGCCGATGCTGCTGAACTCCTCGAGGTCGTTCCCGAAGAGCACGTGGCCGATGATGGTGAAGGGCAGGAAGAGCCTCGGCGCGTGCACCGGAAGCGGAAGCGGAATCGGACCTGCAAGACTAGAGCCCGCGGGGGCGCTGCAGCTGGGCGCCGTGGCACTACTTGCGCAGGGCGAAGATTTTCCTCTTGAATGCAAATGGCGATGATGGCTTGGAATTTAAGGACCGAGCCCCCTTCCCCTCGTAGAATCTTAACACGGGCGGATTCCCGGGTCCGCGGATCCGATTTCCTCCGGTTCCCCGTTTTCATTTGATACTATAAATTTAAAACTGGGTAAAAATCGGATCCACCGTGAAAAATAAGACTGAACACGGATCCAGCAAATCCGAAATCGGATCCGCGCGGACGGAAATCGGATCCAACGAAACAAACACCAGAGCCACTTTGGATCCGCGCGAACTTCATGGGATCCGACGGCGGTTATCTCATACGCGTCTGCTCAAGACTTGAAGCCGCCGTTCCGGGCCCAAGAGGAACTGAACTCTCAACTCAACACGCAGCTCCGATTCTGAAACTGACGGGGCCCCAGGACACACAAATAAATACCCACAAATAAAAATATTCCCCATATTTCCAATATTTTCTGGGTTTCTGTCTTCCCCCCCACTTCCCATATTTTCCCATATTTCCTGGGGGATCGACGATTCATTGTGTCTGTGTGCTTTTTTTCCTCCTGAGAAACGGTCGGCGGCACGCACCCAGGACGAACGGCGGGCACAGCGCGCCCTGCAGACGCCGCCGGACCCGTGTACCGAGAGGGGGGAGCGGGAGCGGAAAGCACCACGACACAGCACCCTCGTCAAAATTAACCTCAAAAATGTCTGACGTGGTTGAACTGCTTGTCGGAAGATCTGGGGCAAAGTATCGATGAGTGCGGGGTACTTGCATGCGCCGCCCCTCCAATGTCGGTCGACGTCAAACTTTCGAGTCAACTTCGGTCAGACTATCTGTGCCCTCGCCCCGACATTGAAGGAGCGGCATGTCGACATTGAGGGGCGCGCCGAAATCGAAATGACGTGCCAGCAACTGTTGAGGTTAATTCTGGCGAGGGTAGTAGCATCTCAATAAAGCAATCGTGAGCGACCTGTCGAAGTCTATCAATCAACGCCGCGGAGCATCGCAAAAACAGGAGGGACAGAAGGGGAGCCTGCTTTCACCCCCTCTGGCTGAAAGGCCAAAAGAGGCACGAATGTCTGCCCTCCTGCCTTCGGCCAACTGATTCGATTGTGCTGTACCTGCGGCGTCTGCGCGTTACGGGAACGCAAGATCGCTCACTAATGGGGGGCGATATTGGCGCACCCTCGACCACATGGCGGAGAAACCTGCGGAAAAGACACCATCATAAGTAGATGTGGCTGCAGGCCAACAGGCAAGAGAAGGGGGGTCGCGAGGGGCGCTGGCAAGCGGGCTGTTTCTGGGGCAACGGCGCTGACCGATCAGCCTCCTGTCACACACAACTCAACGGAGCGCACAAGCTTACTCTCGCCCTGTGCTGCGTGAAAGTTCCCCCCTGCAGTTGCACCGCGGGCTCATACCGACGCGGGAACGCAAAGGCTGGCGGGTGGCACGGTCGCAAGCCCAAGGCGGTCGCGCGGCGCAGGCGCTGGCAGCACAGCTGACGAACGAACCACACACACAGACACACAGCCGCACCCACTGGGGGGACGGAGGGAGCTATGGGCGCGTGCTGTCGGGTGGGGTCCACGCTCGAACAGGAGCCTCCCCGGGGGGCCCGACAACCCGCACCCATGCCCACAGCCAGTCCTCCTCCATCCGATTCCCGCAGTGGGTATGGGTGTGCTCTGCTCGCTCGCCGACAGCGTGGAGCTGTTCCTTGGAGGCGGCCCGGGGGTCTGAACTGGTTGGGGCCCCCGAAAGTCGGCCAGGCGGGGGATGACGCCAGATCCCTCCAAAATCTGTCCCCGAACCCCTCCGACGGGTCCATGTGGAGCAGCTTTACACCCTGGATCCGCGCTGGGCCCGAAGACGGCCCCCAAAGGCCGAAAAGGTCAACAAAAACGTTCCTTGAGCAGGGACCGACCGTCCCGGCAGTTCTATAGGCCTACCACGGATTGTTCTTAGAACCCGAAAATGTTCTAAGAACAAAAACAATGTTCTTATAACATTAACCCGATGTGCTAAACCAAGACAGTCTTAATCAAAACATGTTCTAAGAACATTTCAGGGAAACCACACAGGGTTCTTAGACCATTGTTTGGTAGGACTATACGCGAGCCAGGACGCTTCGCCACTGCTTGACTTCCCGAACCCAGCACCTCCAACCTGGCCGGCCACCTCAGACCCCCAGACGGATCCAAGCTGCTCCCGCGGCGCAGCGACCGCCGCCTTTCGCCGCAAGGGTTCCGCCGCGGGCGCCGCGAACCTGCGCCGGCGCGCTCGCCCGTGG